ATATATATATATATATTTTAGAAAGTCTAGAGTAGTTGTAGAGTAGTAGTTTTTTTGGTACCTTGCAGTGGTTCAGAGATGCATTACAGAACATATTTTCACCCGCTCGTGTCCTTTAAGGTGACTAAAATATTAGAAACACCTCTCAGTATAATGTAGTGCATATCTATACCAATGGAAAAAATAAACACAAGAAAAAAAATACAGACTCCAGGTGAGGAAGAAACAACATTACAAGCTAAAGTGCTTCTGCATCCATCTCAAACCACCTCTAAATTTCTCCTTTTAGTTTCCAGCTGAGAGCTGCAAAAGTGGTCCATTTTTAATTTGAACATCTGTGCCTCATTGGTTGGGTATCTCCGACTGATTGTCTGCAGTCATCGCTGAAGTCGGACTTACTTTTTAAAGGTACTTTATCTTTTCTCCCAGTCCCTTTAATTGGCTGAAATACAGATGATGCAATGTTTCCGGTTTTACATTCACAATAGGTGTTTCCATGGCTGTCTGACGCTCAACATCTCAGTGTCGTTCGGGTACATTAGTTTGCCCCACTCTTGCGAGTTCTAACTTGAGGTCTTGGACGCACACAGGGGTATGATTTCAAAATCTAGATCACAACAGTTTCACTTAGATGAGATTATTTTTCATGTCGACATTTATTGGTGGTTTTCCTGAATCGCGTCAGCAAATAGAGCTGTATCTAAACGATTCATTTTGTGGCTGTAAAGATCATGAATTGTTGTTCTTCAGATCTCAATGAAGAGAAGAATTTCTCAAGCTGCCTCCTTTTTAAAGCGTTTAATTACTCACCGTGGAGACGTATTTGATTTCCCGGCAGAGTTTTGTCTCCCGTGGGAAATCTGCCAGATCCAGGAAGTTGTCCACAACCACTTGACCGATGATGTCATGTCGTGAAAATCGGTCAAAGTCATAGACGCTGAAGTGCAGCTTGCGCGTGGGAAGCTCTGAGTAGGCCACAGGAAACAAGAAAACCTCATCAAACACAGGGTTTAGCGTCTTGCGGTGCACCTTGGTCTGATGCTTGGTCATCCGATCAGGCAGCAAGTAGATCTTAACGTAAGGGTCAGAGGTTCCGGAGAAATCCTTGGCTGGGAGGTCCTCTGCTTTGTGGATCTTAACAATCAACTGCTCCAGGTCACAGTCAAACTTGAGGATGAAGTGGAGGCACCCACATCCTCCGCCTCTGTGACTTCCATCGTCTCCTTCCAGAGAGCGTTGTTTGTAGAGCTCGGGTTTGAGGCGCCCGAGGCCCAGGCCCATACCAGTCAGTGAGTCCTGCCTTTGGAACTGGGCCACATTGAAGTCGGGGTTTGACAGGTTCATATGACGGCGTATCGAATCCTGTCTGTGGGCAAAAGATTTGCAACAGTAGACATTAAAGTAAGAATGGGACTCTTCTGCCGAGACTGAAAATTCCTAATCTAGATCCTCACCAGATTGTACACCCTCCTAAATACCCACCTCCTACTGAACATATGCTTGAATTTGGTCATTAAGACGCATGCTTTATTCCTTCATTTTGGTTTGTCCTGTATCCCATGATTTTGATGATAAAGCATAACTTATTGAGAACCAGTGACACAACGAATGTCAAGTGTTTGAAAGTCAAAAAAAATAAAAAAAATACCCAGTATCTGCAAAAATAACTGACCCAATTTCTGAAATGGAGTGCCCGGAGGGTGAGGGTTCTGTCGTCTGCCTCTGAATCCGAGGGTTGGTATGAACCCCATTTTCCCGACTTTTTTCCTGCACGTCAAGTGGAATGTCTGGAGATGTGTGACTGATCTTCATGGCTGCCTCCGGTGGGGCGAGGGCGACAGGAGGGGGTGAAACAGGAGTAACCGGAGCTTCCACAGACACGACCGATGCCATTGGCGTTGGCTCCTTGGCGATGGAACAGTGAGACGATTCACGGCGGTCGTGGGCCGGGGGATCCACGGCCGTGTAAACTGGCTGCCTCGGAACAGGCTGCGAGGGCAAAGGGCTCATGGCTGGGTTGAGGTGCCCCCCGTGGGGCTCCTTGGTCGTGGGGGAGAGACCACGTTCCCTCCATGGTATCCAGCAGAGCTTCCAAGACACAAAGAGAGAGACCCCAAATAGAGCCAAGCCACAGGCTGTCACAACCAGTGACAGCAGACTCACTGACACATCTGTACGAGAAAAAGAACAATGACAGGAGTTTGAACAAAAGTAACCATTTCGTCATTTTTTTTCAACACTCATGAAAAATGGCAATCCTGCATCAGGGGTTGGGGTGAGTGGAGGAGGCGGGGGCAGTGCCCCACCTGTTCCTGTAGTGTTCTTTTGGGGTAGTATCCGCAGTGCATATGTTTCTGACTTCCGTTCTTGTTTTTACTTTGGTCATTGTCCTCTGGAGAATTTTATGATTGAGCTTTGCCGACACAGCCTTGGCACATTATGTGATATGAGGAATTCGGTTGTATGTGCTACATTGCTAATAATATGTTGCACTCGATAACTTAATTGTTTGTACACTGTAAAATATGAATTGGAAAAAAAAGCCAGTAAGTCACAAAGAGTGCTGCAGTTTTGCTGGAATGTAGCCCACCCGTGGTTTGTTCTCCAACCACTTCTTTTCGAATAAAAAATGACGCTGCTCTTCTACAGGCATAAACTTTTATAATTATTGTGAACTTTAATCCTCAATAAGATTAATAAGGATTAGCCGGTTACTCAATTATTCCCAGGAGTGTCAAATCTCTGCAAGCTGAAGTTATGTTCTGTAACTCTCAATACTTTGCCTCACAACAAATGACTTGTCATCTTCACAGCATGTATCGATACAAATGGGAAAAAGGTTAAACAAAAACACAAATATCAGTAAAACAGTATGCTTAATGTTGAGATACACTAACATTTACCTCAAGTAAACGTGACTCTTCCCAGTAACGGATTTCCAGCAGTGTTTCGTCTTTGTTTCTTTTAGATAGCATGACATTGTGTAATGGTGTTTTTTGGGGTTTTTTTCCCCCCCAAGACGGGGTGTGCTAGTCCCTGTGCAGCACGGTGAAAAGCGAATCAATAGTCATCAAAGGTTTTCTGAATCATTTCTTCTCTTAAATTTCTCGTGTAGAATGAATAAAATGTACCAAATGAAATTGCTTCGACGTACTATTGTCTGAAACACAAGCTGTCACACACAATTAGTAAGTATATATATTTTTTTCTAAATAGGTGTGATCGGAATTTCAAAGCAAAAATCTGTTCTTTATCAAGTTAAAGTGTTTCGGTTTATTCGCGCATAACACCGAATTTTTTTTTGTAGCTTTACAAGAAAACTTCTAACTAGCATCTGTCTTGATAAAAAAAACTCATAATTATAGTCCCTATAGAATGATAGCCACTATGTCTTAGCATCACCTTTTTCTGTTCACTGGCGGGCAAAATAAACTCGCACATAGCTATATCACGTAATAAAATTAATGATGTGAATCCACCTTTAACACTGACACTATTGTAATATTTTTTGGATCTTGAGCTTTATTTCAAACCCATCAAGGGAAAACCATACAAGAGCTCTGGATTTACAGTAACAAAATGTATATCCAGTAATAGGTTGCTAGCTTTCCACTGTGTGGTGTTTCTTGATTAATATTCTTTCTATGGCTGTTCAAAGACTATATCCTCTCTCTCTCTCTCTCTCTCTCTCTCTCTCTCTCTCTCTCTCTCTCTCTCGCTCTCGCTCTCGCTCTCGCTCTCGCTCTCTCTCCCTCTCTCTCTCTCTCTCTGGGACTGCATTGTCATTTAATTATTCTTGTATGGAATAAATAAGGCTCTTAATATTGTTTTATTATAATTTTAATCTGCATGTGCAGGACTCAACTGTTGCCCAGCAACAACTGTTGAGAAGCAGCAGGAAAACCAGTTTGGGAATATGTTAAAATGGTTTCTATTTCTAATTATGGTAAAAAGCAGGTTGGCAATTGTTAGCTATTGAAATGAATTGGCAAGTGACCGTCCCATCTCCCTTGCAGTTAAGATCGTACTCATGCATATGCTCCTGTACGGTGTTGTCATAAAATCAGTCTGCTCATCATTCTGACAAGACCTATTATTGGCTTGTTTCGCCTCGTTCTGTGGGAGGGCAGTGAGGCAGACTTGAACTCGGGTCGTTTCTTGACTCTGCCGCACGCTATTTGTTAAAAATGCCGGTACATTTGATAGAGTTATAGTTTTGGAACCGATTTGTATGGGATTTTCAAGAGGCCACTCAATGGACAATTAATCATAATGACTGCAGTTCACCGAATCATAGTGAACAAAGGGGTAAAATCCACTCTCACTGGTCAGATAATGATGCTTTTACCAACGTCTTTGTGTCAAAGTAACAGTAGCCTTTTGACCAGTCTTGCTGACATTTTTCTGTCATGGATACAAATGACTGTCAAGAGCAAACTATCGTAAGTTGGACTCCTGCAAAAACTGTAAATCTTAGTGAAAATGTACCTCCTGCATCTGTCTGACTTTTGTCCCTCATATTTATGCATGATGTGCAAAGAGATTTGGGATAGTTAGGGTGCTTATAAACCCCTCTTCCGGACCAAAAATAGGGCCGTTTGTGTACATCCATCCATCCATTTTTTGATCCGCTTTATCCTCACAAGGGTCGCGGGGTGCTGGAGCCTATCCCAGCTCTCTTCAGGCAGTAGGCGGGGGACACCCTGAATAGGAGACTATCCCAGCAGTCTTCGGGCAGTAGGCTGCGTACGCCCTGAACTGGTTGCTGGCTAATTGCGGAGCACACATAGATGAACAACCATTCACGCTCACAAACACACCTTCCGTTAACCTGCAATGCATGTGTTTGGAATGTGGGAGGAAACTGGAGTACCCGGAGAAAACCCACGCAGGCCCGGGAAGAACATGCAAACTCCACACAGGGAGACCGGAGCCGGAATTGAACCCTGTACCTCTGCACTATGAGGTTGACGCGCTAACCACTGCACACCGGGCCGCCCGTTTGTGTACATTTGTGAGGAAATTGATACAAGATCTTTATGACATTTAAGTAGATACGATATTCTTTGGCATAGTATATGTGGTGGTGTGCCAAAGTTCAACCTTGGTTTCAACAGACCACAACACATTTTCCTACTCACGTCTGTGAGATGTCAAGTATGTTTTTGCAAAATGTAACTGAGCTTGAACCAGTTCGGGGTGTCCCCCGACTATTGCTTGAAGACAGTTTGGATAGTCTCCAGCACGCCCGCGACTCTCGTGAGGATAAGCGGATTAGAAAATGGATGGATGGATGGTAACTGAGCTTGGATATGTTCCTTTGAAAGATAAGGCTTCAGTCTTGCCACCTTACCCAGTTTCTTTGCACCCGCCCTGACCAGTTTTCAACATATCCAGTTCTTCCTAATGCCACTGTGGTGCCATATTTTCTCCACTTGATGATGACTGACTTCATCGTGTTTCATGGTATATTTAATGCTTTGCAAATTCATTTTTTTGGTCTTTTCAAATGATCTTTTTGAACAATAAAATCCCCCCTGCTGCTGTGGAAGCTCTCTGTGGACCAAAGCTTGCGCTGTAAGATATGACTACAAAAATGCCCGGAAAAGCCTCTTCGAACATCTGTTTATTTGAGGGTAATCAGTGGTACTTTAAATGGTAGCATGTGTGGGCTGACTCATATTTAACATGAGTTTGAATGTTATTATTTCATTTTGAACACAGATACACCCCCGTTATAAGAAGGTGCGTGCACTTTTACGACCACTTTACCCCACTTTGTTTTCGCCTTCCCTTTTGTGAATTGATATTTACAGGTTACTCTTGTTTTTCACTCCAGACAACTCTGCCATCTGAAAGGGGGTGTGTACACGTTTTATATCCATGTTATGCTTTGGAGAGCTTGACGCCTTAAGATCAATTTTTTCCGCATGCTGCCTCTCTCCATTTTGTGTAGTTTCTTGCCATATTTTCTGTTGAAGTCATTTTGTATGTTTTTACGTTAGATTCGACATGTAATGTGATATACTGTATACAATGTTGAATAATAATAAGAATGAATTTGCTAATTTGTGGAAAAGTACAAATTAAAGTACAGGTTTGTAAAATGGATTTGTCCAAATAATCCCACTTTCCAGCCTTACGCTTAATCGACTCGGAGATACAATACAGTGTTAGGTTAAATTATTAGCATGTATATTAAATTAAAAGTATAGCATCGTGCTTCGGCATGATAGCGCTTGACAAGGTAATTTGGGCCAACTAAATCACAGTGCCTAGTGAGAGAGCAAGACTTGTGTGTGGGCACCGTGAGAAGGCTTCACACACTAACTGACTTTCCGCGCTCAGAGATCCTGTGAATTCCAACCAGAGAATGTGAGGTTTGGGAACGGAATGTAGACTAAATGGAGAGACCTGCCATGTGAAGACAACGTGATGTGGGCATGCTGCCAGAGAGCAGCATGAGAAAAATCTATCGACATGTGGAAGGATTCAGAGACTGTAGAACAACAAAAAGACTGAAGCGATTTTAGAGCATGGGGCCTTCAAAGATGCAAGAGTGTAGGAGGCAACCGAGTGCTGAAAAAGCAATCTGAGAACGCCTCCCTCTTGAGAGCTTCTTGTTTGTCTGAAGATTCCCTCAGCGTGATACGTGTCCATGTTTGACTCTATAAACAGCCACAAAGATGACCCACAACATGTGAGTTGTGGGTCATGGTATACAGTAATGCGGAGCTGCAGTTCAGATTCTTCACTCACCACAGGTGACATGATCCATGCTAAACCTATGAATCGAGCATCATCCACCTGTTTGGCTTCCTTGGCATCAAGATTTATCAGGCCGCTAGGTGGGTGAGAACCACTGAGATGTAATCTCACAAATCCATTTTATTAATTTTCGAAATATCACAGTTGACTGATAGGCATTATTTCATCATAATTCTTCCACTAGCAGTTGAAGTGCACTGTTAAAGAAATTGAACGTCTAAACACCCAAAAAAATAAAATAGCCACGCAACTTGCCTTTCGCTCGCTTAATGCTGACACACAATGCAAAACACCATAGATGGGCTAACGAATAGAATCAATCGTCGCAGTGTCATACCACTAACTCTTCCAAGGACGGCCATTTTTAAAAAAGAGAACCTCTTGAGTGCCAGCCAATTTAGAGCATTCTGACTTATCTTTCAAGGCTCACAGAATATTGGGTGTTATGACTATGTCAGCATAGAAAAGATCAAATGAAAGACAATCCATTCCTCTTTCATCACACAAAAACGTTTGTTTCTACCTTCTTCCATTTTTTGTAATCAACAGTGAAACATTTCCCCCAAATCACCTATTCTGGAAAAAAAATGAAAACAAGCTTTTTTTGTGAAATGCTATATTTTCGGCACAACAGTTACTTTGACTCTAAAAATGTTTCCTTTCGTGAAGCCTCAAGCATTTGAAGATCTTCTATAAAATAACAACAACAACAGTGAAAATGTGCTTTCGGTAAAAATAGTTCTCGGCAATTGACGTCAACTGCACTCTAAAGTTAAGCAACGCTTATTTAAATATAAAACATCAACACAAATACTCACCGGCATATTTTCTTTATCTTCTGCAAAAACTAACCAATACTAACTCCTATTAATTGTAGTTTGTGATGTCATTCACAGTAGTTGTGAAAATCTTTGTCATTTGTCACTTCTTGACTGAATGTGGTCGCCCACAGCAAAAGTCACAATGAATTAATCATTTTTTTTCAATAGCAACTGTTTAATTCTTTCATCGTCCATCCATCCATTCATTTATCCACCTATCCATTTTCCAAACCACTTGTCCTCACTAAGTTCACGGGCGTCCTGGGGCTTATTCCAGCTGTCTTTAGGCGGTAGGCGAGGTTAATCTTGTATTGGTCACAAACCACAAACATTTCATTGTGTAGTTACCGTATTTTTTTGAAATCAAATATTTTAATGTGATCACAATTTTTCTTGTTGCCATCACATTTTGAACATTTCTTTGAGACAAGAAAAACTGTTCAAGACAATTAAGACTGTTTGCGAATAACTAGCAAACTTCTTTCCAACTTTTTGCAATCTTGAACAAACCTTGACAAAAAAAACCTTCACTATAGTTGCGTACACAACCAAGCCTTCGCCGCTCGGTAAAATACGGAAAGCAGGGGTCTGAAACTCATTTTTATCGTGGGCCACATGGTGTTATGTCTTCCCTCGGAGGGCCGTTATGACAAATTAATCGTCTCATCATATTGTTACTTGTACACCACAGATTGATGGACTACTAGTTTTGAAATCAGTCAACTATAATAGTTGGTTCAATTATTGTTCAAGTGAGTGTCAACAGGGTAACAAAATTATTGAAAAATCTCAACGTTATTTAAGACACATGACGATTTGACATTTTGGTACAGTTCGTGGCGGGTCAGCTCTTGTTTTACTTCATCATTTTCTTTGGATTGTGAGCAGGTGGGGGATGTCCATGATGCAGATATTCACTCATGAGTTCATATATGGTGACCAATGTCCAGAAATTTAAAACCAAATGATAAGCAAAAAGACTTGACTTTTGACCACTTACACTGCATGCTGTCTGCCTTCACTCTTTTTCTCCATTGCAATACGCGCGCGCGCACACACACACACACACACACACACACACACACACACACACACACACACACACACACACGCGCGCGCACGCGCACACACTCTAGCATGGGTGCTCAAAACGTGCCATTCATTTTTCACGTGACAGAATGTGTCGGCCTACGTTGAGAAAATTCGCACTTTTTTCCCCTTTGCAACACGCTCTAGCAAGTTCAGGGAAGTCCAATGAAATACACATTTTCATTACACAAACACACACAAATCCAAATCCAACTTTCATAGAATAAGTGAGGCTTTACTGTAAGCAGCATTATGCACAGTAATGTTAAAAACCTGTTATCCTTCTGTGTGCGGTTGTCAGTAATACGCTGTGCGAACAAGATTATGATTATCCCATTATGGTAGAATGAAAATCCAGAGCAATACTGAGAAATGACCCTATCGCACGTAATATGCAACAGAATACTGAACGCATTGAAATAACGCGTGGAGAAAGACTGCCGATGCAAATGGAAAACTCAAGTTAAAAATGTGCACATTTAAAGAAGTCACGTTTTGTCTCAATTCATTTGATCGCGTTTAAATGAAGCTGATCCTCACCCGAGTCCGTGTAGCGTGGCCTGGCCAAATCACGGAAATAGTAAATGAAATCCAGGCAGTTTTCACTCTGCACTTCCCCTTTGGAACAAAGATCTGAAAGGAGTTCAAGTGCCTTTCGACAAATCTCGTCATCTCTGTCTCCAGGCATTTCCCAACAGCATCCTTAAATCATGGAGGCTTCTCTCAGGCACCACCACAGCGGACCGCGCTCGCCTCACACTCAGCTTTTCCACGCAGCCCAGTCGAGCACTCATCCGACGGCACGCCTACCCACGCGATGGAGGATCACAAGCGTACCCCCCGCCCCCCTCCCTCCCACCACCTAAAAGAACTAAAGTGAGCGATTGGCGTGTCCCCTTGTGCGCAATAACCGCATCTCGTGTGTGTCGTTCACTCATCTGCGGCCGTCACTGGACGCCTCACGCTGGAGAGCCACCGGTTGAATCCGCGCTTAGACACTGCGGCGTGGCGCTCTGTCCAAGGTGCTGGAACGTGCGCTCTCCTCCGCGGAAAAGGGTGCACGGCGAACCCGTGTGGTGCGTTCATATGTTCGGCAAAGTAGAGCAGTGTGTCAGTGTGCTACCCCGAGGATATGCAATTTAGGGTTCTGAAGGACTTATTATGTTTGCGCACCGGTCCCTTCATTGGGTACACTTGCACAAGGGAGCGATTGTATCTCAAGAATCTGAGACTGTTCGAGACACCTGTCTGAAGGTAGACTGTGCTAGATTGCAAATTGCAATAGCCTTCAATTCACACATCGGTCAATCGCATTTCTATACAGTACCTCCTGTTCTTTCCATTTGGGTTTGAGGGATCTGGAGGCTATCCAAGCTGACTTTATGTGAAAGGCGGACTACATCCTGAAGCTGAGCACTGTGATGTCAAGTGGCAAAATGGCACCCCCCTGAGATGGATAAAACTGGATGGATTTTCCACAAACGCAATAGAACATATAAAGAAAATCTTTAACTTGATTGCTTCCCCTTTTTTTCAATTCAACTGAATCCAGTGGCTAAATATGGTCAGAAAATTAATTACATTGTCAGACACAAGTCTGCATTATTATTCTACAATTTCTGAAGGGAGACTTGATTGATTGTTGCATCTCATTAGATTATGCGGGTGTATCTTATGTTGTGGCTTCTGAGTGCCTGTTTTTTTTCTACATGAAAGAAATGACACGCAATGTGATGCTTAATTTATTCTACAGTATATAAATTATGAATTCACTTATATTTAACTGAATGAGCTGAACTATGACGGCTTGATTCACTGTCATAAAACCGAGCTCGTGAGAGAAGGGGGGGGGGGGGCGGGGTTACCATACCATTTTTTTTTGCTAACGCGATAAAATGTTGGGGGACCCACGCAAGCACGGGCAGCACATGCAAAGGTCAGACAAGGGCGGAGCCAACAGTCAAACCCTGGTCATCAGAACTGTGAGGCAGATGTGCTCGCCACTCTTTGTCTTGAAACCGTATATTTATCAAACACACAGAGCGCGCTCTCATGAGAACACGTTATTCTTGTTTTTGTTGTGCTGCGGAGCATGTGTGCATAAACTTATGATTTATTGATTGTTTCAGGACATGTCCTGCTTGTGGAATGCATCTTTGCAAATAAATGCAACACTCACAAAAGGTTTTTACCAGCTCCTGCCAAACTACTGTTCTGACAGATAAACGTACGGCGCAGTGCATCTGATCGCTAAAAAAAAAAGTATTCGAGAGATTTTCTGCTGAAAATTTTTAATTGATCGTAGCTTGGGGATTTTATCAGTTTGAACTTCTAACAAGAAGAAGCAGAGAGAGTGCTCTGATTTTCATGCTTATTCCACCAAGAAAGAAAAAGCCATCTCTCATCAAATTTAAGCATATTTAATGAGCTGTAAAAAAAAAAAAAAAAGCAGCATGCTTTTTGTCTTGTTGCTCCTTTCTTATAGAAGTGCAATGTCGATCTTATCCGTCTTGTAATCATGACAGCACAGCCAATATCACACAAAATATGACATCTTTCTTTTGCAATTATAATGTGAGCTTAGTGAGTGTTTAATCGCGGTTATGATAATTATAACGAGTTCCTGTTCATCTCCCCGGGTGTCTCATTTTGTTCATCCGCTCTCTAACTCACAGTCTTGGTCATGAACTAATGCAGCAAGCTCGCCACACGGAGTTCATTCAGTTTTTTTTTTTCATTCAGGCCATTGTGAAAGATGCCTTCAGATACTCTTGGCAGTGCTTGAGTTGCGTCTCTATAAATGTCTCTTTCCCAACTGGCTCTCACTGTTCAACACAAGATTAGAAGAGTTTCATCGCACTCTATTTTATCTGTAACTGGAGGCAAGTTATCGCGCTGTACAATCAGGGGCAGAACAATAGTCCTTTGGCGAGTTCTATTTCCTTACATGAAGAGGGTTCTGATTTTGAGGGTTTGAGAGTTCTCTCAGGATACTCGAGGGATTCTTACTGCAGTCCCAAAACAGGATGCAAATTTGCGATGCAATGCAAGGCAAAATTTCAGTATGGATATGAAAACTAGATTTGTACTATCAGTACCTTTAGCAGTGCAACCCAAACATAACCTCTCCTCAGCCACTTGATCCAGCTCTTCCAGGGGAAACCCAAGGCATTCCCAGGCCAGCCTGGAGGAGATACATAGTCTCTCCAGCAGGTACTTGGTCATCCTTGGGGTCTTTTCCCGGTGGAGCGTCCTGGAACACCTCACTACGGAGGCATCCAGAAGGTATTCTGATCAGACACCCGACCCACCTCATCTGGCTCCTCTCAACGCGGAGGAGCAGCGAGTCTACTCCCTGAGAGTTTCATTCTTCTGATGACTGGGTTATTGCTTCATATGACAATCGTCTGATTGGTCAGTGACCTGCCCGGTATCTACCCTCCCTCGCACCCTCGGTGAGGTGGGACAGACTCCGGCCCCTGTGGAGAGTGGAACATGAATGGAGGGATGGAATTAGTATAAGCCATCAATCCACTTTAGAGGAAATCCCTGGTAAGACGAAGAGAAAATAGGGACTCCGGCTTGTAGGCGTTCTAACAAAACGTTTATAGTGTATCCGTTCAAACTGGATGGGGTTCTTATCGTGTAGCTTGTCGCGAGCGTGTGAGTCATTCCCATTTTTTGCCAACGATGAGAGGGATGTAAATTGTTGCTGAGTGTGTCGGAGGCAACAAGCTCATTCAGAACTAAGAACTCCACAATTTGTTTTTTCACAGACATTAGTACTCTTTTATCTTGTGAAATTGCCGTGTAACTACGTAGGTTGGATTTCCACACAAGAAGAGAAAACATAAATACACAGACACATGCTTGGGTAGAGGTAAAGTAATGGGATGAAATTTGTCTTTATTCCAGTTGCCTTTTAAAAGGGTTTCTGGTATTCAATATTATCAGTCGTTCCACTTTACTTTGGTCACAGAAATCACCACTGCGATGTTTCTGATCTTGCAGTGGGCCCAGAATGGAGACACATTAACTCATCTGTTTCTGGAGCTGATTGGCCAGACAAAATCAACCAATTTTCTCTGGCATCTGGCCCCTCAAGCTTTTTTCATTTTCTATTCTTTGGAGGCTTTTTCATCAATGTACAGTATTTGCTGCATTTCTTATCTTGTGCTGGCTTGCTCACTCATTTAGGATGAGAAGCAGACCACATCCTCGACTGTTTGCCAATTAGCTGCAGATCCAATCATTGATTGCGAATCGAGCCTATCTTCTTCAACATCCGCTATGTGAACCATTACAGTATGAGCTATTATTTTCAGCGAAACCTACCTGTCAACCTCATTCAGTACATTAATAAAAGGTGTACACTACGGTAATGAATGAAGACTTATCCAGGTGTGTTTCACTGACATTTTTCCATTTCAGAAGCAAAAAGTAAAATTCCCTTGGGATCGATGGGCGACTGATTCGCCCACCCATCATCTCCGCCTGTATGATTGGCACTCGGGAATGAGATGTGTTGCTCTGCGAGGCACTATTGTGCCTCGTGCAGGAGCATTCCAGAAAAAGCTTAACACCTGCCAAACCTGTTGGAGCCCCAAGGGAAGATGCTCTTAAAGAGGATTTAGGCAGGGGCTAAGAAAGATAAACAGGAGGACAGAAGGATATTCACACACATATTCAGGGTGGCTTTATTATTCATTTGTACCAAGCCTCACTGCAAAACAGCCAAACAAACACGAGTATCTATTTCATGACCTCCATCGTGCACAGAAGCTTACGTGGACACTCGCATGTTGCTGTCTTGTTGGCTCATTTCTCCATCCTTTTCAAAGCATTGTCGTGATTATCTTAAATGTACAGCCGATAAGGGCGACCATTTTTAAATTACATCTTGTATCATGTTGTGGTTATGTCATTGATAGCTTGATGACCTTGGGTTCTAATTTTAATTCATTCCATGACCACGCACAACACAAAACGTTCAAATATCTAATCAACTTTTCCTACTGAAATGAATGGAAAAATATTTAATCCATTCCTGCCTCATAGAAACAACACTTTTTGTAAGGTGTTTTGATGAGGAAAGTAGCACGCCTTAGTTTTGTACAACACATACACAAATAATACACTTTATGTAAACAGAATGGAAATAATTAGACAGTTTGTGAATCCTTAATAATTCATTGTGACTGCATGGTAGATTGATTGAACACTAAATTGTCCATAGGCGTGAGTGTCAATGGTTGTTTGTCGATTTGTTTGTTCGTTTGTTTGTTCCTTGCGGTTAACTGGCAACCAGTTCAGGGTGTCCCCTGCTGAACACCCGAAGACAGCTGAGATAGGATCCAGTACTCCCGCGGCCCTTGTGAGGATAAGCGGTTTGAAAAATGGATGGATGGATGGATGTTTGACTCCTTCTGGTGTACAAGTCTTGGCCTTAAGAGGGCAGTACCATACAGATTTGTACATGTACATGGAGATGGTCACACCTCCTCAGTACGCTGCAATTATACCAGTTGTTCTTCGCAGGGGACAAATAATATAGGCCTGTGAAGATTGTCTGTCTACATGTGTTTCTCCAATGTTTGCTTTCAAATATCTGTTGCTCAAAGGGTTATAACACGATGACACTGATGCTATTTGTCGGCACGTCTATGGCCATTTGGACTGTTTGTTAGCATTAACCTAAACGTACTTCCCTAAGGCAAAGCTATGTGGTTGGTTTCAATACTCAACGTGTAATTCTTGTTGTTCTTCCACTGATGGTGGCAATAAACAGTTTGAAGCCTCTTTTCTTGAAGAACTGTTTACTATCTATCAAATGGAATGAAAAAAAAAAACGCTGAGTCGGGTCACTCATATCTCTGAGTACCACTGTAGAAAGGGTTCTGTCAGTCGTCATCTGTACCTGTGGGTAAAAAACAAAAAAAACAAACAAAAAAAAAAAAATGCAGCGGTAGCATCAGCCCTACATCTGCCTTTCCGTCACTGCCCCATATGACAGTTGATCGAGTCTTCCTGGGGTTTAAAAAGG